AATGCAGGAGCCCCCCCTACTGGCCCGCCACACCACACACCAACTCCTAGCACCACAACTGATCCCAGGAGAAGGCCACAGATCTCATGGCACTGTGGGGCAAGGCTAAGATCCTCAGCCAGTTTTCTTGGAGCGGGTGCTCCAACACTCACATCTGTGAGGGCCTGTCAGGCCACATGCAGGAGCATAGGCACGACCAGTCAGCATGCCAATGCCACATAAAGGTCCCAGGAGGAGAACCGAGGGTCACCGTCACTGACCACAACCACTGGTTGTGGGCTGCCCACAAGACTATGTAGCAGCTGGATCACATCCTTGCACCCTGGGATCCTGGCCTGAGACATGCTGTCTACTCCAGCATGGGCAGCCTGTGTCACCATGGGAGGGCCTCTCAAGCTACCAGGAGCTCATCCCACTGTGCTTCCCACCCGTGGCCTCATTGAGCAGCTCTGGGAGCCCAGGCCAGTGCCTGCATTGCCAGTTCCGGGTGCGCTGTCCCACCCAGAAAGCCAGAGTGGCCATGGCAATGCTAGTCACCAACAGCTTTAGCTCCTCCCCAGAGGAGGCCTCTGCTGTGGCATCTGGAAACTGTCCAACCTGGTAAGCTCCATACTGGAGGGAGGGACCTCCGTACCCCTGCCCCTGCCCTGCCCTAGCCCCTGGCCCTGCCCCTGCTTCCTGCCTGGCCTCGCCTCTCTCCCCTGGCCCCAGGCTCTCCCCTCTCCCCCTGCACAGCACCAAGGGAAGTAGGAGGGAGTGCAAAACTTTATTGAGCAGCCTGTGCCTCCTCAGCTAGAAAGGCATGTGCCTCTTACACATGGAGGAATGCATCAATGTGTGGCAGACTCGCTGCTTTTGCCTGGCAAGCCCAGCTTAAAGAAGGACACTTTGGATTGGTGGAACATTTCCACCAATCAGGTAACAGCTGGGAGGGGCTTGCCCCACCCCTGCTTGGAGGTCGGGGGGATGCAAGGAGCCCCTGGACCTGATTGAAGACGGTGCTTTGCAGGTCTGGCAGACTTCAGGGGTGGGGCCTCCAGTGTAAATTAAAGCCCAGCATGCTTAGCACACTGGGCAGATGCAGCAAGGAGAGAGGAGCTCCAGAGGAAACCATGATCTGGCCCCTGCCTGAGCATTGATGGTGTGTGGATCAGCACATGGAGAGCCAGCCCTGGGAGCAGCTTGAGGCTTCTCAGGCCCCACTTTGTGCTCAGGTCGGCACACAGATAGCTGGCCCTGGGAGCAGCTCAAGGCTGCTCAAGTTAGTCCAGCTCTAGGCCGGATAACCAGAGCCCTGCAGTGTGGCTCAGCATTAAACTAAAAGAGCCCTGGTGCCTAGAGCAGGGCCCAGGAAGGGGAAAGACCCCTGGCATGAGGCTGGGGAACTGGAGTCAGTGAGAGTTCAGCTCCCATAGGAGCTCCCTGGGTGCCCAACGTGGGGCACAGGGCGTAGAGGGAAGAACCTTCAACTTGAGGCCAACGGCTCCAGGAGGCCTGAGATGGTGTGGGGACCCAGAGGCTAGATTGACAGTCCCCAGAGGAAAGACCGTGAGATACAAAGAACCTGGGTCCCACAGGGGAGGCACCCCCTCAGCCCCTAGAGGGAGTGGGCCTAGGGGGAGAAGCCCCTATCCCATTTGAGGGACCATGTGGTTGGAACTCAGATAGTTTAATATCTGGTATAGTTATGTTTCCTAATCGGTATCTACAGTTATTGTTGGTGTTATAAATATTTGGGTGTATTAATTCCGTATAATGAGCTCTGTAAGGATGTCTTTATTAGCTAACCCACTTGTGGTATAAACTTGCTGGATTGACTGTTGTAGGATCCACCCCTCTTCTGGGCCTGAGTCACAGGTACTTACTCAAATATCCTCCCTGTGGCCGACTTCTTCCAGCTAATAGACCTTTTTATCTATATTTGTATCTATACCTGTAATTATATCTATCTTAAAGAGTTTTATATATATATATATATATATATGTATGTATGTTGGTAGTTCAATAAATTGTATATAGTTAAGAACTTTGAACTTGGGCTAACTCTATAAAGGAAAGGGGGATCTGCTTGAAATTCTGGCATCCCTCTCACTGCACCCCCTCCTGCCTACCTGTCCCATCCAATTGAGAATAAGGCACACCCTTAGGTGTACCCAGGTTACAATGCCAGCAGTGATGTCATGCTCGGTTATAGGGGGCAGGGACCAGTAGCCCTCCAGGTGGTGGCGGAAGTTGTGGGGAAGGGAGGGCTTGCCCTTCTCACTGTCAAAGCTCAGGGTACTATGCCAGGTTTGCAGGTGCATCTGGGGAACTGTGGTGACCAGCAGCAGTGGGTCATAGTGGGTTGGGCACCTTTCAGTCCCTGTAAACAGCTCCTTGTAGTGTGACCAGGACACTGTCAGCAGGGGCACACTCAGGGTGCAGAGCTGGGGGAGATGGCCCCTGGACACCCCTCTGGAGAGGCCCCCTGTGGGGAGGTCAAGGGTGGAACAAGCTCCACATCCCAATCATTCAGGAGCCACTCAGCCCCCAACCCCAGGTGCTGTGAGCTTGGCGGCAGCACAGGAGACAGCTTGGCCTGCAGGATGAGAAAGTGGGGAAGTGGTCCTGGATCTGTTGCAGGAGGTGCTTCCAGGAGCCAAGCCTGTGTTGGCCTGGGAAGTGGACAGGGGAGGCAGGATGCCTGTGACAAGCACTCATCAGCCCTCATGCCCCTGCAGAGTGAGCAGGGACAGGGGGCTTGGTCAGCAGCCACCTATGCCAGGGCCTGCCTAGCCAATTTCCTATGGTCCGTAGGCACCCGTACTTGCATGACCCTGATCTGAGGTCAGACACCATACAGCATCTTATCTCAGAAATTTTGCAAACTCTCAAAAACAACCTCTTTCTCTTGGCTCTGTAGGACCTGCAGCTGTATATAGAGAAAGGGACCAGCTCTAGCGATAGAGCTGCAGCATACTGGCACCCTACTCTGCAGCTTGCTACAGGCCAGAAAAGCAGGTGGTCAGGGAGCAGCACATACGTTTGCCTTTTAAAGAGAACTTCTGGCCACAGGCAGCTGCAGCCAGTGCTTCTAGCTCCCCCTTACTGGTGCAGGTTGCTGGTGCAGTTGCAGGGCCAGTGGGTGGAGGGCCAGAGTGAGCAGGAGAAAACTTTTTCCAGGAACTACAAATCTGCTCCCAAATTCCTGCATGTGTAGATGCCTGCCCAGGGAGTGTGTATTCAAGAATAAATTACTCTGGAGTAAATGAATCCAGGGTTTGGCAAATACACACAGTTGGGATTTGATTTCCAAACAGAATCTGAACAGCATCCTGCTGGAAGTAAAATGGAGGAGGAGGAAAACCCTCTTACCTTTTAATCCCAATAATCTAGTGGCAAAGGCACCTTCTGAGGGAGCAGGAGTCCTAGGCTCTAGGCCCTTCTTACTCAAACAGGGCCTGAACCTGCTCTCCACCCTCCCAGCTGATCATCAGGATCCAGGTTTTGAGGCATGCCTGGTGATAAGTAGGCAAGGGATTTACTTGATGAGCCTGTATGATTTCTTTCTGTTTGCATGCTTGTATAGTCTACTGAAAATGTTTAGTGAGGAAATATGAAGTTCTTAGCTACATAGAGAAGAAAAGGTGCATAAATGCAAAACATTTCAGTTACAACAGAGGTGCCTAAGACAAATCTGGCCCACAGAGCCACATCATCCCGCCCCCCCAATTCTGGCCCCACATAGGGCCAGTCTGGGACCACTCACCCTGCAATGATGAATCCCGCACCTGTGACACCCCCTCTGGCAGATCAAGAATTGCATTGCACATGGCTCTTGCTCCAGCCAGTCCAGGATATGAGCCACATATGGCACCCACTCCATCTGGGTCAGGCTAGGCACCACATGTAGTACAGAACCTGGAGTGGACACCACATGTGGCACAGTCCTGGACTAGGTGAAGTGGGAGCTGGATCCAGTATGCAGGGGGTGGGAAGGTTCTGTGGGTCCCTTGCATGTTGGAACTGGTGCTCACTCTTGCCAATCTGGGACTGCACCTCAAGTGGTGTCTGATTTAGCTAGTCTGGAACCCATGCTTCACACAACATCTACCCCAGCATGAATGCTGTGTGCCCCTGGAGGTTGTTGGGGCAAGGAGATTGCCCACAGGCAGCTGCGCAGTGTCGGCGGCTGTAGTGGTGGCAGTGGTGGGGTGGGTGTGTTGAGCTCTGACCAGTGGTCAGTGACCACCCACAGAAGCCGCTAGCAGCATTGGCAGTAGTCATCAGTGATTGGGGTCCACCTGCAGATGCCACCAGCAGTGTTGGTGGGGGTGGGGGTGGTGAGTGGCAACTGCCCACAGGTGCCACTGTCAGCATCAGCAATGCTTTTTGCAGGGGGGGGGAACCGCCAAGCTCAGGGGGTGCACATGCACCCATGTGAACTGTGGCGGGCCAGTAGATGGTGCTCCTGCAATAAGCCACCCACCTCACTGCGCCCAACCGCCTTCCATGCTCTGAGTGCCTTGCTGGGGGCACCTCATGTCTGGCCAACCCCCTTCCTGGAGCACACCTGCTAGCCTGGGGGTAACGCCCCCACCACCTAGGGTCTGGAGTTATCTTGGCTCTGTTTTCCCTGGGAAACACAGGCCTCGTAGCCCTTGAGGGTACTTGATCCACTTCAAGAACTTGGGATGCTTCCCTCAGTCTGAAGCACAAATAGTGGTCTCCGTGAGTCAGCTGAACCAAGGGGACCCCAAGACATAATCTAGCCCCTCTCCCAATAAGTCTGCCATGCTAGGTACAAAGGAGAACTTAGTTGGCTACAAGGAGTAGGTTTGGAATAGGGTACAGGGTAAAGCAATATCAGAGAAATCCCATAAAGCAGAGTGGCTGGGTAGCCTTTGATCACACATCTGAGTTACTGCAAGCTATATATCTAGTTAGATCTCAGGTAGTTTACTCATAAGTATCATCCAGAGGCAGGTGGAGATTCCTCCTGGATGCAGGCAGTTCATTGATCATGAGTTTCAAGAGAGAGAGAGAGCAAGTCTCATATGGTCCAGCTTCTCTCTCTGAGTTTTTTTATCATGGCTACTGCCCCTCTTCCTGAGCAGTCCTTAACTTATATAGTCCTTATGACCTCATTTACCTGGTCCAATGGAGGCCAGCACCTGATGGCTGTCAGCCAACCAATTTGAAATGCATCACTAGTTGCTGGGCAGACTGGCAGTTCCTAGCTCCCCAGGGA